GCGATGCTTGCGCACAAGGCCGAGGAGGAAGGTATCTCGTGCGTCGAGTCGATCGCTGGTGGCCACGGCCACGTCAACTACAACGCGATCCCGGGCGTCGTGTACACGTTCCCGGAAGTCGCCAGCGTCGGCAAGACGGAGGAGGAGCTCAAGGCCGCCAACGTCGCCTACAACGTCGGCAAGTTCCCGATGATGGCCAACTCGCGCGCCCGCACGGTCGGCGAGACGGACGGCTTTGTCAAGATCCTTGCCGCCAAGGACGACGACAAGATTCTCGGCATCCACATCATTGCGTCCAACGCCGGCGAGATGATCTCGGAAGGCGTCCTCGGCCTCGAGTACGGCGCGTCGGCCGAAGACATTGGCCGCACGTGCCACGCCCACCCGACCTTGAGCGAAGCCTTCAAGGAGGCCTGTAACGCGGCCTACGACAAGCCGATCAACTTCTAAATTGTAACGTCGCTAAGATCCTTTGTCTGTACTGCTGTCCTCATGACGTGGCGCCGTGCAGCAACCCCCATGCACCGTGCAGCGCCCGAAGCGCGCACTTGCGGAGCGAGCTGAGGACAGGGTCTCCACCAGTAGGGGCCATGTCGGCCGTGTTGCGGCTCCTAATTCCATCGGCGGCGTCAAGACCGTTGAGATCTGAGCCCGTGTGCCAGCCGCAGAAATTGCGATCATACGTCTTCACACTGATAGGCATTCCAGCCAATCAAACGCGGCTCAAAATGCAGCAGCCAATCACAAGCGGCCAACTATCAGGCGCCCGTTGCTGCCATTTCCAGTTTGCACCACCAGCGCCGATGACCGAGACTGCCCAGGTAGCCTAACTACAATAAGAACGTAGCGGGACGTAGCTGGTACGCATAGGCGCCGACACGGCGCTTCCTCCTGTACGGAGGCACGGGCTGGATCGGCCAAAAGCTCCTTGCGCTCTTCGCGAGCCAAGGCGACCACTGCGACGTGGGGCGGGCGCGGCTCGAGGATCGTGCCGCCGTTGCCAAGTACGTACATCGAGGACTACGGATCCGCGTCACAGCCTATGTAGGGAAGTGCTTGCGCTGGCGCCGACGCATGTCATCAACGCCGCCGGCGTCACGGGCCGGCCCAACGTCGACTGGTGCGAGACGCACCAAGCCGAGACGATTCGGTAAACTGCTACTACTTGATACGAGAGATCTCTCTACGCAAGCTCACATGGAGGTGCTGCGTACTAGGGCCAACGTCGTCGGCTGCTTGAACGTCGTCGACGTGTGCCATGACGCGTCGCAGGACGGCCGCGAGACGCCAATCCACTGCACGGTCATTGGCTCGGGCTGCATCTTTACGTACGATGACGCGCACCCGATGCACAGCGACAAGCTCTTCACCGAGAACGACCGTGGGAACTTTACCGGATCGTTCTACGCCAAGACCAAGGGCATGTTGGAAGAGGTACACGATCCTTCATCACGATGATGTGCAAGATGAGGTATGTAGATGCTGCGCTCGTACCCAGATGTGTGCGTCCTGCGCTTTCGTATGCCACTCTCGGACGACCTCCACGACCGCAGCCTCCTCACCAAGCTCCTCCGCTACCCCAATGTATTACGCCTCCTTCCTGTGGTCTCGAGGGATTCACTCGACGATGCGTAGGTCATCAACATTCCCAACTCGATCACGGTGCTGCACGACCTGTTGCCGGCGGTCGTGCTGCTCGCCAAGCAGCGGAACGTTGGCGTCTTCAACTTTACGAACCCCGGCGTTATCTCGCACAACGAGCTTCTCGACTTGTACATTCAGTACATCGATGCGTCGTACGTGTACACCAACTTTGGGCCGGCCGAAGAAGCCGCCTTGTGTCAATCGCGCTCCAACGTCGCGCTCGACTCGTCCAAGCTCCAGGCGGCCGTGGGCTCGACCCTCGTGATCCCGCACATCACCGCGTCGCTCCACGCCCTCTTTCGGCGTATGTCGCAGCAGCAAGCATAGAGAATGATAAAGCACATCAAGCACATGGCGTTGAGAAGAAGAAAAGCAGAAAAAAGGGCGGTTGCACTACAAGATGACGCAGTTGGGTTCGCCGTCGACGGCGAGGAGCCCCGAGTCGCGCTCGATCTCCTTGATCAAGTACGTAAAGACTTCATCTAATACATAGTACAACATCATCATCGTGGAGGCTACGGGAAGATGCACGTACTGATGTTTTCGTTTTGCTTGGCCGAACACTCGGTGAACGGGCAGCCCCAGGCGCGCGCAATGGCCTGCGCCTCGTCCGTCGACACTTGGCGGTTGCGATCGAGGTCCGACATGCTCCCAATGAGCACGCGCGGCGGCTCGGACCCGAGCATGTTGATGAGCTTCTCATTGATGAGCTTGAGCTTCTCAAACGACGTCCGCGACGTGATCGAGTAGACAAGGATGTAGCCATGGACGCCGACGGACGCGGCCTGCGAGAAGTGCGAGTACTCGTCCTAGGCAGACGCGTGCATGACGCGGCGGCGAGGCGAACAGGCCGATTACCATGCCTGCGGTGTCGACGATGTCGGTGACAAAGTGGGCGTGCTTGAAGCGGATCGTCTTGTGGAATGTGTTCTCGATCGTCGGGTCGTAGTTCTCGACGAAGCGGTTCTCGACGAAGCACGTGGTGAGCGACGACTTGCCGACGCCTGGGTACCCGAGCACCGTGAGCTTGCGCTGGACCTCCACGACCATCGTCCTCCGACTCGAAATGCCAAAAAGCCAAGTCGCCAACCGCCTCGTCCTAATTAGGATATCAAAAGGCCGAATTTCAGGCCGTTCAGGCGCGTGGCAAGACGGGACGACCAAGCTGAGTACCGTATCTGGATAGGTGTGGATCGATCGGTTCGGGATCGTTTGGTTCGACACTACTACACTCGATCATAAATCAAATCAGATGTACAACTGCAGTCGTCGTCGTACTATCCGATTTGCGGCTACTCGATTTGACTTGTCGACGTCGTCGTCGTCCTGGTGGCGTCGATCGCGGTGGCGACGTCGTTGGTGCGGTCGTTGCATCGGGCCTCACGTTGCTTGGTGCTCGATCTTTTGGACCGACGTGCTGCTCCTGCTGCGGAGGTTGCGCTGTGGTCGATTGCGTAGCTCGCGTGGTCGTCACGCCGCGGGCTGTCGCCGGATCTTTGTCCTTCCTGCGCTGTACTGCGACATCACGGGACTGCGTGACCTCTGCCGATAAGCGCTTGTTTTCTTACTGGCAGAAAGTGACAAGTCGTCTCCTACTCCATCAGAGAGTAGGGATCTCACCGGGACTTGAACCCGGATCTACCTGGTGGTAATCCAGTGTCTATACCGCTAGACTAAGAGATGTCGACTAAATATCTGCCTTCTTGACTTACTCGACAAGGACGTCTCCAAGGCAGAGCACCGCGTGGTGACGAGACCCAGGGGTAGGGTCCACATTTTCTGGGGGTAGGTTATGTACGTCCACGGCGCTTCTTCTTGACGTCCATCATCCCAGTCGTCGCGCGATGCAGGCCAGCGATGCGACGGCATCCGAATACATGTGGACCATGTCAAGTTGCCACGTCCACTCCGCCGAGAGCAGCACGGCGCGGAAGCATCACATGTACCCATCGTGTTTAAACCTATATAATCTTGTCTGTATATCGTCGTATTTCGTGGAAGAGGGGGACGTTGTTGTCGTCGCTTCAATACGCGCTCGTCCTTGCATACGACGCCCGTATGCTCGCGCCGTCGTCGTCGTCGTCATGGTTGTTGTTGCTGCTCGCGCGGCGGCTTTTCCGGCGGGCTTTGACGAGCCCGGACGCACCGCCCATCGCCGGCTCGTCGTCCGTGCGCAGTGGCTTCTTGTCGCTGAGCCAGAGCGGCACCGCGTCGCTGCCGCCCATGGCGACTGTCGGGATTCGCCCACTTGCGTTGTTGCAATCGCCGTCCTTCTCGTCGTCATTCTCGTCGTCGTACGTGAGCGATCCATCGCGCGCCGAGTTGGGCGGTCGA